ATTTAAACTAACCATATCTGATTTTTATTAATGGAGGATAAAATTCACCTATAAATATTCTATTCACCAAATGACATATTATATTTCATTCATCAGTGATGGATGATAATCAGAGCAGCATTCTGCAAACCATGCGGCAATAGCTACAAAAATATAAAAACCTTAAAAGACATGCACACTTTTCTCCAGAATCTACTCACTTTTGGAATTTTCTTAAAGCTATGTTTCTCTAGTGCACACAATGTGTTCAAAAGACATTATTTCTCATAATGATGAAATAATTTAGAAAACCAAAAAATCCTTAAAACACCATTTAAAAAATCATAGGTGACTTTTGAAAAATCTGTGTAATAGCATTGTCTAAGTATTTGAAACATAATGCAGGACTGTTTTAAAATTTAAAAAAATATATAAGCTAGGATAGAGAAGGAGAGAGGAGGAGGAGAAGGAGGAAGAAGAAGAGGAGGATGAGGAGGAGGAGGAAGAGGAAGAGGAGGAAGGAGGAGGAGAATATGAATGTAATTTCTCCCCAAAATAGATGTGTGACTGTGTACCCAAGTGAAATTATCTGAGAACTGAATTATCACATAGGCTGTCATAAAAAGCAAAATGAAATTCTCTTGTGTATGTAGCACCTGTCTGAAATACCTGAAGTAATAAAAGCTGATCTGTGATTACTTCTAGAAGGTTCTAGAAGGCTGGATAGCCTTTGGGCCATGGATTATTTCATGTATATGAGCATAACACTATGTAGATGAAGGATAGTTTTGTGACACAAGAAATTTTAAAATTAAGAATGATAGTAATATTCATCAGAAGTAATAAATTAAAATTTAAAATTCATCCCTTTACTGTCTGATTTGAAAAGATAATCCACTTACCAAAACAGCTATCATTTAAGTGTATCTACTGAAATAAACAAAGTAGACTGATCAGGCACAACAACTATTTCTTAATTTTAATTTTTTCATCAGTACCTGTTTAAAATGCTTTAATCGTAGGCAAGTGACAATTGAATATAACACATCTTAATCCTGCTCCTAGGCCTTCTCTACTCTCCCTCCTGTTCTGTCCATCTCTAGATCTCTTTCCCATTTGTAATAGATCTATCTCTGTTTCCTATTAATCCATGCTTTATATTTATCCTTTGGATTTCTCATATAAGATAAACTATATGATATTTAGTGGGTGTGTCTTCTGTGTCATATCTATTTCAGTTAACATTATGGCCTCGGCCGGGATTTAGCTCAGGGTTCGGTGGCCTGCCTTGCAAGTACAAGGACCGAAGTTCAATCCAGGGTACCAAAAACAAAACAAAAAAACAACCAAAAACAAAAACAAAACAAACAAAAAATTATGGCCTCAAAGTTCATTTGTTTTCAATACCAATTACTCAGAGCAAATTCTCCTTCATGCAAGAGTAGCACACCAATTGTATAAATACTAAATCCGTTAATCCATTCATCGACATACATGTAGGCAATGTCCATGATTAAACTGCTATGAATTGTGCTGCTATAAAGATGGGTAGGCATTTATCACTGTAATATGATACTCCTAACTCTTTGGGGGAACATATCTAGAAGGGGAATAGCTAGGTCAAATCAATTTCTATTTTTAGTTTATTAAGGAATATCCATGCTGGTTTCCATAGTGGTTGTACTATTTTATACTTCCACCAACAATGAAGAGAGGTCCACCTCACCCTGCAACCTCCCCAGCATTTGTTATTATTTGATTTCTTGATGATAGCCATTCTTTGTGCTGTAAGACAGAATCTCAGTATTACTTTAATTTTAGTTTCTTCAGTGGCCTGAAATATTGAACATTCTTTCATATATTATTGGTCATTTCTATTTGTTTTATGGAGAAGTCTCTATTCATTTTAGTTGATTGAGTCTATTATTTTGAGGGTCTGTTTTTAAATTCTATTTCAAATATTAGTCTTCTGTTCAAGAAGCAGCTGGCAAATATTTTTCCATTTTTTAGGTTGTCTTCCCTCTCTGTCATTTTCTTTGCTGTGCAGAAGCTTCTTAAATTTAACATAGTTCTATTTGTTGTTCGTTGATATTTTTTCTTGTGTATCTGTGCTTCCATTCAAATATTACTACCTTTTCCTATGACTTCGAGAGTTTTACCTATTTTATGTTTCAGTAGATTAACTGTTTCAGTTTTAATATTCCAGTGTCTTTCTATTCTGGTTTTGTTAAGAACATAGTGAGATATATGTGTGTAGATTCCACCTTTCATGTTTTTAACCAGTCTTCCCAACACCATTTAAAGAGGCTATCTTTCTTCCAAGGTAGTTTTTTTTTTGTTTTTCCTTTTTTTTTTTTTTTGCCACTTCAAAGATCTGAAGGAAGATACAACTTCATAAATTACAAGAGATAACAAATGTTCCATATATCACATTATTCTCTATATAGCTTATCGTTAAATATAAAAAATTAATAGTAAAGATTAATATATAGTGATACTAAAAAGTATCCATGATTTACCATTATATGAAAATAGTGACAAGTGTCATGTGATGCTGTTATGCATCATGTGACCACCAAAGCATCTGTGTTTGTGTTTGTATTTGTGCACAACAACAATGGGTAGTGGTCGCTGAAGTACAAGATTATATTTTTCCTTTTCCCTGAAAGTATTCTAAAAATATGTTAATTTTTTTCCTTGCACCCATATTATTCTAATGTGCTAAAAATATTGCTTTTAGGAAATTTTTATTGAGGAAGAGGTTGACTTGAACACAATGTACAGAATAAAACAGGACATTTTTCTCTGCTGCCAGAGAATTGCCACTGTGTCTGATCTTATTATCTTCTCTCAGGTGACTTCATGTAGGTAAATACAGTCATGAAATTCCAGATACATAGTGCAGGAAAGCATATAGGACCAGGCGTTTTCCCAGACGGAAACAGCACAGTATGTGTTTGGGTGGGTTTACTGCCAGTACATACATGAGAAAGTTTAGGATTTGATCTATTTTCCCACAGAACCTTAGTCTTTCACAACATTTTTAGCTCAGGCTTTGAGAAGTTCAGGGCTGGATTCAACATGGGATGAATGAAATAGTTCTAAGTTTCCTCAGCACCAGGCACTAAGGGATCCAGGTGAAAGCCTTGAAACTTAAGCAAGGTTCTCTGTATTCTGATGAAACATATTCGGCCTCCAACATCCAATATAACGAACGATCAGGATTTCTATTTGCCTGGAAGGAAAGTTCATACTCACCCAAGTCCTGAAAGGTGGATGTGGCTGTACTCGTTCGTGCTTGCGAAAGTGGGATGTCCAAAGAAACAATATTTGACTACATGTTTCTTTGATAATGGGTGCCTATGGATACTTCTGCTTTGCCTTAACTAATAACACTGCCTACAAAATGCTTTCAGTTGATTACTCCATCCCTGTTCCATTCCAATAAATCTTTTCAACTTTTCACAATGGGTAAAAATAATCCTGGTTTCATTATTTCATCTACTTGTTAGGTATCTTCAGTAATTTTTCAGACTCTCCCAGTCTCTGTTTCTACCTTTGAAAATATAATAACACATACGAATTTAGAAGTGATGAGTAGGTTAAAGGTTTGAAAAAAAAGCACAGGATATTGCAGATAAGCTATAAAATCTTCATTTGTTCCAAACAAACAAATTAAATATGGTTTAAAAATATGTAAACTAATCCAATTTATAGGTCTCGTTGTAGTAAATTTATTAAATAGTACATGTTGGCACTAATAACCTAAATCTAACTGTGCTTAAAATCTATTACAGCCTCTACAACACATTTATGGATTTATAAGAAAAAATCCTAAAGCGTAAATAGCTAGAATTGTTCAAAGATCTCAAAGATCTCAGATTATGAAATTTGATGTACTCAAAGTTAATGTTTAGAAGTTTTTAACAATTCCATTTAGCGCAATTTTATCAATCCTCTTACAGTGACAAAAAGTCTTCTTTTCCTCATTCTTATTTTCTACATTTATTCATTTCCTTTATGGGCTGACATCTTCAAATAATTTTCTTAAAATAATAATAGTAAAATTGTATGTTTATAAATCATCTTACAGTTCCATGAGTTACTTTCAAGAAGATTATTTTTTGCTTTCCAACTGCTCTATTAGTAAAATAAGGTATTTATTCTGATATTCTCTTCGAAGGCAAACATTATGGAAATGGACACAAGCTTTCGACATGTGTTACTTCTAAAAGTAACATACTTTCTTTAAAATGGAAATATCTTGTAATGTGGCAATTTATGTTAGCATATCTTGGTCAAAAAGTTATTATAAAGAAGAAGAAATTAATATTTGGGAGGAGAAAATCCTATAAGTACAGCGGATAGCAAAATGAAAATGAGTTAAGATAGTACTTGAGTAGATGTATCCTTTGCTTAAAGTATATCCATCCGAATCTGGTAATGAAAGATGTATCAGACCAGACCTTCAAGAGAACCAACTTTGAAATAAATTTTATCTTTGAAAAAAATTAGCATGCAATTATAAGATGAAAAATTGTTGCCTTCCAATATTTTTGATACACATTTTTTCTATTCTTTCATGTTTTTCTGGCATTAAGCTATAGAATACTATCTTCAAATAAGGTTTTGTGTGAATTCCTAAAGGAAATCCACAAAATAAGAAACAGGCAGGACATTGCTGATTAATTCCAGATTTTAAGAGCATGAGAAGAGTTCCCTTAGCATAAGAAGTTAACTGGAAATGTTGATATTTATAATTTGTATCAGTTAACATGAAGCATTTTCATTTTTTGGAATCTAAGTTAATTTCATGTCAAAAGTCTAGTCCAAGAAAATCAATATAGATTCCAAAAGTGATGCACAAAAAAGATTCAATTCCTCTGAGCTTTCTCATTTGCATTTTCCTGACATTATTTGCTTTAGTCATGATTTATGGGACCCTTAGATGCACGTAATAGTTGGCTGAACAAATCACACTTAATTGTTGCCACAGCCACATAACACGTTTGCAAGAGAAACATTTTCCCTGTGAATTACAGCAGTCAATTCGTGGTTAAAAGCTATGGCATTTGAGCTCATTCAGCACATATCTTACTCCCATTCCATAGGGAATGAGCTGGTCTGTCTTTGCTCACCATGTCCACCTGCACTTCGTTAGAGAGCAGAACACGCACATGCCACACCACAAGAGCCCCACAGTGACATAACTCCATTCAGACTGGCGTGACTGTGCTGGTCCCCCCCCACCCTCCTCAGCTCTTGTATCACTAAGAATCTGGCAGTCAGTTTCTTCCTGACAGAGTTCACAGCATATATTGGTGGATTCTTGTCCATAGTGCATCTGCTTTAAGAATTAACAAAAGCAGTGTCAAGACAGTAAGGTAAGTGCTGTTTTAACTATAGCCTAGGGGATGCTGACTGTTTGGGACAGTTTCTATTGTAACAGGGAAAGGAGAAAGTTTCAGAGTAACTTTGCCAATTGCTTTTCAATAGCACATTCATAGATTTGCTCATTTGCTTTCACATTTTGGATAATGTGCTTTCCATGATTTATGCATTTCAGATAAATTTTATACAGTATATTCTGTACTGGTTGGCAAAGAAAGTTATCAAACGTTTCAAGGTTAGAAAGGAAAAATAGTTCAAATGGAGACTGGGAAATTAAACTAGACACGAAAAGTATGGAGATTAAAATGTTTATTATTTATGCTCATTACTTATGTTACTAATGCTGAAAGCTAATATTGCAGCCGTCACTCCAATCAGCAAAGTATTTTGCAATGAATATATTTTTTATTACAATATAATAAACATTCTATGTTATAAAATGGGAGCCAAAGGAACTAAAATATTTAAGTATTGTTTGTTCCCATTTCATTGACTTTAAAGGTTTGGGATTTTCATGTATGCTTGAAGAAGCATATTTCCAAGAAATTCTGGGAGATGATTTACTTTTTGCAAAAAGCATTTCCTCTTTAGCCACAGGTATTTGAATACATGGAGAAAAGTACAGTGTGTTTTTGCCTCATAGTGGAGGCATTATATGATTACAAACTCTCTTTGAATTCAGAGACCTAGTTTTTACACTGCCATAAACTACAGAAACACTTTTTTTGTCACTATTCAATACTCAGATTTTAGTTACCATGACTGCTTTGGTATGCACTTAATTTTAAATGAAGTATATACTTATTAATGAATCAGAATAAATCTTTACAGCACTAACATACTGTAGCTCCTAAAGAATCCTAGAAATATGCCATCATGTTCATTTTACTGAGACACAAGAGTTGTAGCCAAGTCCTGTCCAGTGAATTAAACACCTCCAGTATACTACCAGGGAATAATTTCCTAAGATCCCATGTCTTATATTTGGAATTGAAGTGTTTGTAAAATTTTTCTTTGAGTGTTTCATCTGCTAAAATAACGTTCCTTATAATCCCAAATTAAAACAAAGAAAAATATTTAAAATTCCTGATTCTCCCAAATCTTTACATTCCAAATTTCCTCATCTAAAAACTTGTATCATGCTTCGCATAGAAAAACAGTATTCAATGTTACCTATGAAAATGTAGCTCCATTTCCCATTAATGATTTCTCTCCCAGAACTCCCAAGTTCTCAGCGATAGTCTTCACCCTATAAAAACCCAATTCCACATTCTAATTTTTTAAATTTATTTAAATTGTTAAACTTGTACTTCTTCAACCCAGTTATAATACTCCTTAGTGAATCTCAGAAACAGGTTTATCTGGAAAGATAACTGTTAGAATTTGTTTAAAATTTATATTCTCGGTATAACACTTTCCTGCATGGAAAGCCAGTGCTTGAAATAAACTTTCCTCCTGTCTTCCATTTCATTTTGTGAGGCCTCTAAAATCCAAAAATGTAAACCATGCCACCTTAAATTTTAGCATGAAGAAGACAGAGAACTTCTGAGGGTTTTTTTAGAAAACTTTGTTTCAAAATTAGTGAAATATTTTCCTCTGCCTTCCTCTATTTAAAATTTCTTAGAATGTCTATTTCTTTTGTTAATAAATATTTGCTTTGTTAAATCAATTTAGTAAATGTCAGTTCAGAATACAGTTTTATAATGTGTGAAAAGTGTGGAATGTTATTCAAAACTTGAAATAACATAAATACACACCCATCCTGGGAATCCTGCTCCCCTTCCTCAGAACCTCGGAGACAATAACCAGACGTTTCTAAAGGAATGCACTCCCATTTTCCTTCCACCCCATATATTAGCAGGATAGCTTTCCTCCAGGGAAAACCACAGACGGCCCATTTTCCCAGGAAGGATTTTTTAATGAGACATTTTAAAGAGGTGGAATTGTAGGTTACAGGCTCAGTTTACAAATGTCTTTTAATTTCACCTCTTCTGCTTTTGAGATATGTTCTGCAGCAGTGTTCTAACGTGGTAGTCAATGAGCGCCACTCAGAAAGGCTCTCCTTTCCCAGGAAGGCACTTAGTTAAGGACCTGAAGAGAGTAAGTGGAACAGTTTTGTTTGTCTTGCCCAGAAGGGGGCGCAGGTGTATACCGTCTGACTCGAGATCCAGCGGCCGCACCAGTTGTAGCCATAGACCCCATCCTCATTTTAAATAAAATAAAAGACAATGAAGGCATTCTTTTCCAGGTCAGTAGAAGACCTATAAGATAACAAGATGCTTGATAGACTCTAACATTGCAAATTCAATTTCACTTTCCTGAAAGTATGTCATTTTACATTAATTTATTTATATTTCCACTTTATTTAGGATTCAGAGCATTTGCTGAAAATGAGTCGAGGTGCACTTATTTTCTTCTTGGCATTGACTAGTAGTGCCAGTGGGCAGTACGACGATTATGATTACTACCCCGCCTTTATGAGTTCGTCACCAAACTGTGCTCCAGAATGCAATTGTCCAGAAAGCTACCCAACTGCCATGTACTGCGACAAGCTGAAGCTGAAAAGTGTGCCAATCATTCCTCCTGGAATCAAATATCTTTACCTTAGGAATAACCAGATTGATCATATTGACGAAAAGGCCTTTGAGAACGTAACTGACCTGCAGTGGCTTATTCTAGATCACAATCTTCTAGAAAACTCCAAGATAAAAGGCAAAGTTTTCTCTAAACTGAAACAACTGAAGAAGCTGCATATAAACTACAACAATCTGACAGAGTCTGTGGGCCCACTTCCCAAAACTCTGGAGGATCTGCAGCTTACTAACAACAAGATCACGAAGCTGGGCTCCTTTGAGGGACTGGTAAACTTGACCTTCATCCACCTTCAACACAATCAGCTGAAAGAGGAAGCCATTTCAGCTGCTTTTAAAGGTCTTAAGTCCCTTGAGTACCTTGACTTGAGCTTCAACCAGTTGTCCAAGCTTCCATCTGGCCTCCCTGTGTCTCTTCTAACTCTCTACCTAGACCACAACCAGATTAAAAACATTCCTGATGAGTATTTTAAGCGTTTTAATGCACTACAATACCTGCGTTTATCTCACAATGAACTGGCTGATAATGGGATACCTGGAAATACTTTTAATGTATCATCCCTGCTTGAGCTGGATCTCTCCTATAATAAGCTTAAAAGTATACCAAATGTTAATGAAAACCTTGAAAACTATTATTTGGAGGTCAATCAACTTGAAAGTAAGTAGAAAGTTGTATTTGTGTTTAATTGGTGCATCTGCACATTTTAAATGGCCAAGTTGTGTGATACAAATATTGCATTTGACTCCATTTAATGAAAATGAGTTAAAATGTTGACAGAATATCCCTTTACTGTAAACATAAAAGAACTCTAGCTTTACGGGTCTACTTTTTTATCCTTTCTTTAGAAAGTCCGGATGAAGAACTATTAGGATTATGCAACTTAATATCAGTTTTTCTCAGATTTCATTTTTTGAGTTGATTAATTGTTGAATTATATCTGGATATTTACCTGTTATTACCTCGCTTATCACTAAGATTTGTGTCTTGCATTTACTTCTTTGCTGAGAGAGGAAAAAACAAGTTTAGAAGAGGTAGAGCTGTAGAGGATTTCAAGCACTGCCCCACTTATCTCCAGAGAAGACCATGTATTATCGTGATCTTACCTAGCATAGTTACTAGGGGTTGAACATGTTACTCTGCTAACATGACCATCATTTACTTTCATTACAGTTCTTATGGTATGTGTGGCTTTCACCATATTCTGGTGAGAACTCTGAGAAGATTAAGAAGGGAGAGTATATGATGAAGGGTTAGAATGGCTTTTTCTTTTCAAAGTAGTATTTCAGAGCTCCAGAACATCTTATGGACACCCATAACCATAGGTGTCAGGTCCTTTATAAAAAAGTCACATTAGTTGCATACAATCTACAGACGTCTTCTCATATAGCACTTTAGATTATGTCTCGATTACTTATAATATCTAGCACAATGCAAATGCACTCTAAATAGTTGCTATATAATTTAGGAAACAATGGCCTTTTAAAAATCCTACATATTTAAGACTGAAGCAATTTTTTCCAAATATTTTTAATCTGTGGTTTGTTGAATCTACAAATGTGGAACCCACAGGTAGAGGGAGCCAACTCTATAGCCAAAAGTAATTTTACATTTTTAACCCTGCAACTCTAAGCATTGGTCTAATGATAGGTATTCCTAGTAAGAATTTGGAAAAGAGAAAAACTTTGTAAGGACATCCACACTTATTCTGTATATTCTATGTGCTAACATTGTTTGACATGCTCCACATACATTTATCTTCACACAGCACACAGGGATAGATGTGCATATCCTACAGGAAGATCAGCAAAACATTCAAAGGTCACTCAGTTGAGAAATAGTGGAAGACTGACATAGGCCTAGGACCAACTTATTGCTGTTGCTCTGTACTTCATCAGCTCTAGGTACCCCAGAAAGAGCCCAGCATTCAGTTGATGAGTTTAAGTAAGGACCTGAGTTTCCACTGAAGCCACTGTTAACTAGAGTTTGAGCACGAAAGAAAACAACAAAGGACTAAGTAAGGTTAGGCTGAGATGGACATTGGCACACGTGAGTTTCTGTGTGCATCTATAGTCATGCAATCCAGCTCTAGTGACTATCGAAATTAAACCACATTTGTGAAAATCACTTGTGATTGCTTTTCAACCACAGAAAAGCATTAGGTCAGATGGTGGATATTCCATGGTTTGGTTTCTGCCTTGGTGTTCTGGTTCATTGTCTTGGTGTATGGTTGCTGAAAATATTCCTTATAGATGAACTCGTTAAATCTCTCCTATTTTCAGAACCAAAACCTAAGGAAACTTATGCTAATAAGATTTTTTTTCCATAGGATAAGATCATTCAGGTCAGATTAAATATTTGAAAAAGTGTATCTTAGGTTATAAGACACACTTGTCAAATGCCTTTCTAAAATCTCTTCTTAAGTTGCATTCTTTAAAAAAATCTATGAAATGTTCTGATCTATGTGAGTTACTGCTTACCTAATATTGCTATGCTATGTTAGCTGCCCAAAATATGCTTTGAGTAATTCTTAATACAAAGATATATAATACAAAAGAGTTTTTCCAGGCGGGAAAAAGTCCTGTTTGATAATATTGTAGACCTGAGGATTTTTTGAAAATGTTTGTTTTAAGACACTTTGTTAAAAAAATGATTAAAGTTTTCTATTCTTTACTTTCCAGAGTTTGACGTGAAGAGCTTCTGTAAGATCCTGGGACCATTATCCTACTCCAAGATCAAACATTTGCGCTTGGATGGAAATCTCCTAACCCAAAGCAGCCTGCCACCTGATATGTACGAATGTCTACGTGTATTGAATGAAATCACCATTAACTAATATCTGTTCATTCCAACTATATTGAAGTATATCCTGGAGTGATACTTCATGGTAAACTTTTTTGTGTGTAAGTTTTTCATAGTATCCATTTTTGTCGCTGTTTATTAATTCCATTAATTTTAAATTCTGAGGGAAAATGTTTTGTAAACATTTCCTACTTTTATTTTAAAAGATGAAAAGCAGGCCTATTTCATCAAAAGAACACATATACATACACGCACATGCACACACAAATAGACACTAAACTCAATGGTTTGTTCGTTAATGTATTGTTTACTGTGTCTGTATTGTCCAAAGACATGCAAAGCCTTTTACTTCTAGCATGGAAGTCAACCGAGTTCCATAACCTTTAAGTGGTAAGTTAATGTACTCAAATCATGGGCTAAATGGATATTTGTCACCTTCACCCAGATTTTCTTACTATATTTAAATTTGTTTTAGTGAAAAATAAATGGCAGAATTTGAGTCAGCAATTTTTGCAAAATGCTAAACAAAATGTGTGAAGGAAAGTGTACCTAAACAAAGTATTTTAAGTATTAAGAATTTACTTATTTACATAGCAAACCTTTCTATGATTATTTTTATTCTAAGTCATATATGTTTCTTTTTCATTATTTGCATGTTGTGTTTAAAAAGTTAATAGCAAAATAAAACATAGCAAATGGCATCACTGTGTTAGACTTCTTGTAAAATTCAGGTCTCTCATATATAAAATGCATAAATGAATACATTAAATTCAAAAGACATCTTTAACCTGAAATATTTTGCCAGTGAGAACACAGGGCTTCACACTAAATTAATTGTCTTCTTCTAGAATTCACTTACAGGGATTAAGTACATCTTGATTATATATGCAGAGATCATATAACTTGCTTGGATAGTTTCTTCTACTCCCATTCCTGTCATTTTGCCAAGTTATAAACAATTATTCCATTAAACAAGACGCTATAGTAAGATCCAAGCAATATAGCACTATTTGGTTGGTAAATAAAACTGATTAAGAACTCCAATTTGGACTTTAACAATTATTATAAAAATACACAGCATCCTAAACCCAGTACATTTGGAACACATGTTTTGAACTTATAATACAGTAATAACTGTTTTTATCTTTCTACATTCTTGGTATCCATGACTCTATACAATAGGAAATAGGACATATAATTTATAAAAGTAATTTCTGGCTTTGGCTAGTTAAAAATAAAGCCTATCGGGCCAGAGATTTAGCTCAGCGGTTCGGTGGCCTGCCTTGCAAGCGCAAGGACCCAGAGTTCAATCCCGGTACCAAAAAAAAACAAACAAAAAAAAACAATAAAGCCTATTTGTTGCCAAATGGTATGCAGGTGAAAATACACTTATTCCAGATCAGTGACTATATAGTCGTGTATGAGTCAAAAGCAAAAGAAGCTTCTCTCCAAAGCATGATATATTTTAAGAGAACATTTTCAGTGAACTCTATCTTATGGCAAAAAAAAAAAAAATATTTTGTCACCAAAGGACCATCATCAAATAAGACTGAGTGGACTGGCAGATGTACGAAATATACATTGCATTAGGTAAACTGCATATTTTTGATTCTCATGTGTTTTTTTTACATAAAGTTAAATTCTTTGACCTGTGAAACCACTCAAGTCATTTCTTGGTACAAACTTAAAATTGATTTTCTCTAAGCAAAACTATATTATGCAAAAATAAAAAGAACTGCACTATATGTATAACTCACCATCATTCCTTGGGAATGTATTTACAAACAGGTAGTAGAAAATACATCATAAATTTTCTTTAGCATGAATGGGATGAGCATACATGAGCTTTGTCTCTGTACAGCTCAGCAAAACATCTTCACATTTGTCTACATCTCTACAAGCCTTTGATTTAATTTATCCGAAGTCCTTTGTTATTCTTAAGTCTAAAGAGTAAAATTCTACCTCAAAGTAGCAGCAATTCCACTTGCTAAATTCCACTGGCAGAGGTAAGTACAAAGTGATACACTCTAGGAGGAAGACACCAGTCAGGTCCAATCTGGAGGCAGCCCCAGAGCCCTGGGTCCATTCTTCCCAAGGCAGGGTTGAAGAAGAGAAGCTGCCTGCTTGTTCCTTACTCCTTGGGCTGCTTTAGGTGGGGAAGGAAGGAAGTCTGGAGACTGCTTTACCTGTTCATTCCTCAAATCCTCACCTCCATCTCACTTAGACTAATGTTATTTAAAGTTTCTATTGCACAAAGTGTGATGCTTTTACAAGGACATATTTCCAAACAAAGTGCCCCAGAGATGCAGACCCAATAAGTTAAGCAACATGGAACTCCATGTTTTGTTTTGCATTATTTTTCATTGAGTTTATTGGTATTTTTTAAGTATAGAGTACAGTTACATTCATCATTGGTATCTTGTACCTTTGCATGACAGAGCTTGGTTCTCATTTCTTCCCCCATAACCCTACTCTCTCCTTTCCACCCCCTCTACCCACCCCTATTTACAAAGACTTTATTTCCATTTTTTCCTTTTATCATATTTTTTTATTTTCCCTTATTTCCTTTCCCCAACCCTTCCCACTCCCCTACACCTTTAGCCCTTTGCTTCCTATTTCACATTATCAGTTGTACAATTTGGATCTTATTTTCACGTTTAGTTTTTCACATCAGAGAAACTATTCAGTATTTATACATGTATGTCTTATTAATTTCACTGAAGAATATGGCCTCAATATGAATCCATTTTCCTATGAATGACCCTAATTTCTCACTCTTTATGGCTAAGTAGTATTCCATTTAATAGACAAACTACATCTTCTTATCCAGTCTCCAAATGATGGAAAATTGGGCTGTTTCTAAGTTCTAGCTATTACAAACTGTTGAGTGTGTGGTGAAAGATAAGAGTCTACTTTTAATTTTTGGCAGGATGAAATCCAGTTTTTTCCACACAATTTATTAAAGAGCCAATCTTTCCTCCAGTGAGGATGGTTGGCTCCTTTGTCAAAGATGAGGTAGCTGAGAATGTCTGGAGTTGTTTCTGCATCTTTTATGTATTCCATTGATCCTTGGGTATGTTTCTTTGCCAGTAACATGCTGTTTTCATCACAGTGGCTTTTGTTGTTTTTGTATCATCTAGGAGTTGTTTAATCTATTTCTCATGATCCCTTACTATTTTTAGGAGATCTCTCTTTTCATGGTCACTGACTGAAATCCTATCTTCTATATCTGAAACTTTATCTTCACATTTGTTCATTGTGATGTGAATGATTTCAATAGAGTTTTTACTCTCCTGGATATCTGTTTGAATCTGTTTCATGGATTCCATTTCTTTCCCTATGTTGGGCATTCATGGTTCCCATTTCTTTCCTATGCTGGGCATTCATGGCTTCTGTCATGGTCCTGAGCTCATCTATTTTTTGTCTGTTTCTGTTGTCGAGTCTCTAATAATGTCTTTCACTGTGCTCACCATTTCTGTAGTTATCTGGGAAATTATTTCTGCTTTGTATTTTTCTAGAGCCTGACTGATCTGGTTTGTTACCTCCTGTGCTATGGTGGTTGATTGTCAGACTTTTCCATCTCTTTTCCCCTAGAATTTGCTCTTGCTGAACTGGAAGTCTGTATTTGTGCCTTGCTTAAGTGCTTTCTCATTTTTATTTTTATTGTTAAGCTGTCCTTGGTTTAATTCCTGGTTTTGTACTTTGATCATTCTGTTCTTTAGTTTTTTGAGCCTCTAACAACTCAGAGACACTCTCATTTTCATAATATCAGAAAGGACAACTCATTAAGTCAACCACAACCCTTTAGCCCAATTGATACAATCAGCAACACAACAGCATCAAGCACAGCTTAGAAATTGACCATTTGTGGTAGTTATTAATCTATCACTTCTAACCATGTGAATTAAATAAAAAAACTAGCCCAAAATATTTTTATAGTGAATAAACTTTTCAATATAGCAACTTTACCCTTCAGAATGGGGACTTCGGGCCAGGGATTTAGCTCAGTGGTTCGGTGGCCTGCCTCGCAAGTGCAATGACCCAAGTTCAATTCCCAGTACCCCCCTCAAAAAAAAAACCAAAACAGAATGGGGACTTAGAAGGAGTTGAGAGGAGAGGAATAGGAGAAGGTTTCAAGCGAAGCCAGAGGACACAGGATGATCACAGAAACTCTAGGAAACTGTTGGAGATAAGAGGGAAAGACACAGCACAAGAATAAAGACAAGAATAGAACAATTTAACAGTAATAGGGAAGCTATGAATTGTACTCACTTTCCATTGAAACTAATGACTATTGAGTGAAGGGAAAATAGAGAAGAAAAAAAAAAAAGAAGAAATTCCAAATTAGGGCAGGAACAGGAACAAAAAGGGAGATGAAGAAAAATGTGGGGGAGTGACAGACTGAGCAGGAAAGAGAAGAAAGAAAAAGGAAGAATTTGCAGAATGGGAAAAAATAAAATTTAAAAATAAAAATTAAAAATAAGAGGAAAAGAATGAAAATGAATTTGAAGAGTCTCTTTCGGGGTACATTTCTGCTATCACAACAGACAACGTGGGCAGTAACGTGCAGAACTAAGGCAATTCGTCTCAGCTAGCCAATGGCAGACCTCTGAGACTGAGGCTGAATTCTGACAGCAAGACCCAAATTGAGTTCTCTGACCTCCTGCAGGGTTGAACTCTGCAAGATTCTACTGCGAAGATAGTACGAGTTCTGATGGAAGGTGGTGATCACTTCAACTTACCAACTATGGAGGTCTGATGTGTCTTTATTGCTGTTGTTCACTTCTGTTCTATCTTCTGGTGTTCAGTAAAATGGGCTTTATAACTACCTGTTGCCTCTGCAGGGTGGATCCAGGTACTCTCACAACCAGGACTACTGAGAGCTCAGGAGGTGGAGGGGGATGCTGCAGAGGCTCCCACAAGCTGGGCAGTCTTCACCGCTCTGCTCTCATGAAGGCCCTGGGGCGCTGAAGGTGGGGGAGCAGTGAGCTCTCCTGGCAGTTGGGCAGTCCTCACTGGTCGGCAGTACTCCACATTTTAAAACAGCATCCATGAGAAATACTGATTCTGGTGCTCAATGTTTTGCATTTCTCAAACACCAACTTAGTATGATGTTATGATCAAACCAGTGAAATTCCAAATGTTTGAAAAGCAGAGGAGTCCTTTTTCCCCCCAGAGAACCACAATAGAAGGAAACAAGACTGCTCACAATATACATACATTAAAATGCATATATTTTTCATATTCTAATGGATTTAATCTCTCTAACCCTCAGTTTCTTCATTTTTAAGAAAGTAATACAAGTTTTAATTTCATATAGATAGCAGGGCAGTTACGCCACAGAAATGGCTTGTGAGTTGTTTGATAAGACTACTAGCCTGCCTACCATCTTTTTTCCCTTTGAACTTACCTTTTTTATACTCTGTGCTGACATACTGCTTAGAATTCACTTTAATTATATTTTTAAAGAGTTATCAAGGAACATGGTCATAAACAGGTGACTTTAAAATTGAAGGTTTTCTCAACTTCTACCAACAATAATTTTGGTTTGTCTTTTTGTGGATAAACTCTCCCCTGAATGGATTACAATGGTGATACATAAAAGATTCTTTCTTTC